CCGACGCGAGAGCGCGATCCCTGCAGAAATTGTGGGGAAGTCCCGCGCGAGAGCGCGAGCGATATTGGAATAAACTGTGAGGATGTATCAGGCGGGAGCCGCTTTTGTTGTAGACGGGGGGGCCAATAACATAAACAGGGTGCGAGCCCCGGGAGAGGCACCTCAATTGAAAAAAACACAATGGTCACCAAAGAGGGAGGGATCAACTTAGAATTCAACATCGTCGTCGTCGTCGTGGTCGTCGTCAGCAGCATTGTCATTGTCATCATCCTCATCATCAGCATCGTTTTTGACGCATCATCCGAATCATCGTCAGTATCGTCAGCATCGCTAGCGATATCAACATCCGAGCAGTGTCCCCCATCATCGTCATCAGCATCACTACGATATTAAACAATGATGCCAACAAGAAAAGAATATAGACAGTAGCATTATCATCACCAGCAACAGCATCGACATCCTGCATCGACGTATCTCTCTCTCTCTCTCGTCCTCCTTCCTCTCGTCCTCCTTCCTTCCTTCCTTCCTTCCTGCTCCTCCCTCGCCCCTCCTCCCTCATCCGTCCTTAGTCTTCTCTCCCGCTGCTCCTCCCATCCCCCAGGTGCTCGAAAAGACCCCAGGAGACTCCCAGGAACGACGACGACAACGACGACGACGACGACAACGACGACGACGACGATGACGACGACGTTGGCGGCGGCGGCGGCGGCGGCGACGACAGCACGACAGCGGCAGCGCAGCCGTCGTCGTCGAGCGAGCGACCTCGGCGTCGAGCAAGCTCCGCCGTCTGCGGCGGCCACGGCGCCGAACGAGCGCGGTCGAGCGAGCCCCGCCGAGCGGGCGTCGGCGATGGCGGCGTCGGCGACGGCCGCGCTGGAGGAAGACCCTGCCGCCGCCCGGCGCGCTGAGAGGAGGCGGGATGCCTTCGGGCAGAAGCGGCGCCCCTCTTCACCGACCGGGCTTGGGCCACGGCGCGCGGCGCAGGCGGCGCGGGCTGGCAGGGGCAGTCGCCGCCGACGCCGACGCCGACGCCGACGCTCCTCCAGACAACGCTCGCTGGACGTCGGCGTCGCCGCCGTCGTTTGTCGCCGTCGTCCATCGCCGCAATCCGTCGTCGTCGCCCGTCGCTGGTCGCCCGTCGACGTCGCCGCCGTCGTCGTGTTCGTCCTCGTCGCCGCCGGGTGGGAAAAGGAGATGAGCGAGGGGGCGGAAGGCTGGAGGAGGGAGCAGCGAGGGGGACGACAAAGACGTGGGGGAGGAGAGGAGGAAGAGGAGGCCAGAGGGGGCACGACAACGACGAGGGCCGGGGGCAGCAGGAGGGCGGCGAAGAGGAAGGAGAAATTGGAGGAGGAGGAGGGCGAGGAGGTCGGACGAAGAGAAGGATGAAAAAACACCACCTGTCGAACCTGCCATCCCAGACATCCGACATCGTGCTCTGGTGCGCAGCGTGGCTCCCAAAAGGCCTAGACCCCTTCCTGTGGGGACCGGCTTTCCACCGCGAGCCGTTTTGTTTGGCGGCCCCTGGGCCCAGTAAGAAAGAGCCCCCGAACGAAAACAAACAGCAAAAACTAGAGGGACCCACGAACCTGGGAAGTAAGGGGAATGTGAGTTAAAGGATCTGCTGTCTGACCTCTGTGGTCAAGGGCCGAAGGCCCCACTACATACAAGGAACCCTGGGTCCCGCACCAGATCCACGTGAGAAAAAAACACACGCCAGCGTAAAAGCCAAATGCAGCCCGAATGAGAACACGCGCCCTGCCGCGGCACGAGGATGTCCGGGCAGCCCGCCCCCGCGAGGTGGGGAGGCCAGCCGAGGCTGGCCTCGAGATCGATCTGCGCCCGCCAAACAAACGGGGCCCCGCTGATGGGGGCAGACTTTCTAATAAACCGAAGCACTGGCACCCGAAGACGGCCCCCGAGACCGCCAGCAAGCCCACAAGGGGCCCCAAGAGGGCCCCCGAAGCCCCCCGAGTGGCCCCAAGGGGCGCCCAAGAGGCCCCAGAATGCCGCCACCGGGGCCCCCCTGGCCTCCCAAGAGGCCCCAAACGACACAGTCAGGCCGAAGGCCACTAAACACTGCATACAGTGTGGCCGGCGGAATGAACTGATTGAATTCGGCGGGCCCCCTGCAGGCCTTGGCCGTGCTAACCGTCGAGACAAGATGATGAGACGATGACGATGAAAGGGAGGAGAGTGAGAGGCCATGCAAGAGGCATGCTAAGAGGGTCTTCGCGGATTCCGCTGGTCGACTCTCCTGGAAGACGTACAGATGCGTCTGATCGGCGCCCCTAGGGCCACGAAAGCCTCGATTCGGCACACCATTCACGCATTTCCTGCGCCCCCAGGCCTCCGAGACATGCAAAGCATAAGGGATTCGGAGAATAGCCTCCTGGGAGGCTCAATTCGGCACACCCCTCGCGCACTTCGCACATCATGGGAGCTCGGCTGGCCCCAAAGACTGCTCCTTAGGGCCTCCATTGGACAAACCCCTCGCGCTCTCCGAGCCCCAGGGACCTCCAGGAACGACCCGCTGGCCCTCGAGACGGCGAAAGCGAGCCTCCATTCGGCGCACTCCTCACGCACTTCGTGCCTCCTGGACTCCCATGGGGCCCTCAGCTCACCCCTCAGACGGTCCAGCAGAGCTTCGATTCGGCACACCGTTCACGCACTTCGTGGCTCATGGGTACCCAAAGGCCCTCTGTTGGCTCCGAAGACCGCCTGCCCCCCAAAAGGGACGCCAAGATGGCCCTGTGGTGCTGACCCTCGTCGAGGCAGTATCCCTAACACCCACTCACACTCACTCACTCATGCCATACGCCGGAGCGCGTGGGCGAAAGAAGACAAGACAAAGCCAGCCGATTCTCACCGCTTTGCGGGAGCGGCGGCACTACGGCAGTCGCATAAAACACAACGTGCGCGGCAGCAGGAGGAGGAGGAGAAGCAGGAGGAAAGAGGGAAGACAAACGGCCGGCGAATGATAGGGAATCCCTAACACCCGCTAATTGCAAAATCTGCGTGTAAGCTTCCCCCTGGGGGCCCGCCGTGACTCCCGCTCTGCGGGCGGAACAAGCCCGGACGCTGGCGTGATCCGCCGCCCCACCAGGCACGGCGTGTGAGACCACCACCACATGATCTGCAGGGGCTGCTCCTCGTGGATCCTCTCACCAGTGCACCTTTCGCTCCTGTCCCTGCCTCTGGGCCTCTCCGAAGCCCTCCTGGGGTCCTCCCCGCAGTAGTCGTCGTCGTCTTAGTAGTCGTCGTCGTCGTCGTCGTCGTCGTCGTCGTCGTCGTCGTCGTCGTCGTCGTCGTCGTCGTCGTCGTCGTCGTCGTCGTCGTCGTCGTCGTCGTCGTCGTCGTCGTCGTCGTCGTAGTCGTCGTCGTCGTCGTCGTCGTCGTCGTCGTCGTCGTCGTCGTCGTCGTCGTCGTCGTCGTCGTCGTCGTCGTCGTCGTCGTCGTCGTCGTCGTCGTCGTCGTCGTCGTCGTCGTCGTCGTCGTCTTAGTAGTCGTCGTCGTCGTCGTCGTCGTCGGCGTCGGCGTCGGCGTCGGCGTCGGCGTCGGCGTCGGCGTCGGCGTCGGCGTCGGCGTCGGCGTCGGCGTCGGCGTCGGCGTCGGCGTCGGCGTTGTCGTCGTCTTAGTCGTCGCCGTCGCCGGCCCGAAGGCATTGGGCCTGGCCGGGGCGCCCTCTGGCCACCACTTTCGTCCCAAAGCGACCCCCGTGTCATGTGCTGGGTTGCTGGGCGCCAGCGAGCCCCCGCAGAGAACCCTCCAGAGGAGCCTCCCAAGCCAGGGGGGGGCCTCTCGGGGCCCTCCTGGGCTCATCTTGCCACTCGTTGGAGCCACCTTGAGGCGTCCTGGATGCCTCTCCAACTTGGCTGGGGTGGAAGACACCTGCAGACCCAGAGGAGCAAACAAAAACACGCACAACACATGGGATTCGAACGATCCCTGTCGTCTCGGGCTTCTCCTTGCGCGCCTATCTTGAAGCTCCCGTGCATCTCCCCGAGCTCCTCCTTCAATTTTGGAATCTGCGGATACTCTCTGCGCCGTCCTAGCTGCATCTCGCCCTCCCCCCGAGCTTTCTGGCCGCCGTTTGTGCAGCTTTTTCAGTCGTCCGGGGCTCCCTCAGGAAGCCGGAGCCAAAACCTAAATGGGGGTGTTTTGTTCCCCCTTCCCGTTTCCTTCGATCACCCCACTCTGCCGCACCCGTCCAATTCTGGTCCATTTCGGGGGCCCTTTCGGGACCACCCGGCGCCCGTTCCGAGGGCTCTCCAGGCCGCATTGCGGCCGTCTTGGCGGCAGGTCGGGGCCCTCCTCGGCTCCAAAAACAGTGGGGCGGCGGTGTCTGGCCCCCTGGGGAGCGTTCCATTGAATCAGCCAGGGCACTGGCGCGCCCGAGAAAGCTGCAGCCGTGCGTCGAGACCCTTTCCATTCTTCGGTCTCTCCAGCTGGTGAAGCCCTGGTTTGCACTGTCCTGGTTCCGGGGGGCCCCTGGGCCACCTGCCACGCGCCTCGCGCCCCGCGGTGCGCGGCGCGCGTTTCGTCGTCGCGCGCCGCCGGGGGTGGCGCCAGAGGTGCCGAGGCCGCCCCCGCCTGCTCGGGGAGCCGGTTCGCTGACATGCGACGTCTTGATTTTCTCGATATGGGGTCCCTGGAAGCCCCGACCCCTTCCCGAAACCCGGCTTTTCATCCCGCGTGGTTCGTTGACGGTCCCGGGGCCTGGCGAGGCTCCGCACAAGCAGGAAATTGCCAATCACCTTCCGTCGTGGTTTTTTCACGACGCGTGCATGGCTGGGTCGAGACCAGCTGGGACAACTCGGGGGGCTAATGATCCAACCGGGACTACCTGGGGGGGACTGTCTTTGCGCATCCCTGACCTTCTACCATCTCCACGGGGTCCCCTCCCCGCACCCCGCGCCAGGCAGAGAGGGGCGGAACGGGAGGGCGGCCGAGGGCAAGCAGCGCTGCCGGCGGGCGGAGGGAGGCAGCGGAGGACGCACTGCCTCGATGCCCGCCGTGGAGTCCGGGCTCATCATGAAGAGGTAGTCCGTGTTCTCGTCTGTGGAGAGGATCGAAGATCGAAGATCAGAGGTTCGAAGATCGAGGTCATCGGGCGATTCTGGCCCTTCTTGGGCTTCGGGGGGCCTCCTCGCCTCCACGGCTGGATTCCCCTCGAAGCTCTAGCATGAACGCACCACTGGAGAGGTCTGGGAGGCGAGTTACCAAGAGGGATGGGCCAGGAGGTCCCAAGAGAGCCCCAGGAACCAAATAGTCCCCAGAGAGGCCCCGAAGAGACCTCCTCCTCCTCTTCCTCCTCGCCCTCCTCCTCCTCTTCCTCAGTAGTATCAGTTGTATTGATAATATTAGTAGCAGTTGTTGTATCATTATTGCATTTTCTTGGTAACAACAAGAATAAGTTTATTACTTACAATAACACTAGTAATACGAATACTGCTGATGATAATAAAAAATAGTAATGAACCAATTACGAATTTACAAAAAGTGTTGTAATGAGTACTGCTTGTAATACGGTTACGACTCTTACTTCTAAAAGTAGTAAAAGTAGTCGTAGTAGTAGTAGTAGTAGTAGTAGTCGTCGTCGTAGTTGTAGTTGTTGTAGTAGTAGTAGTAGTAGTAGTAGTAGTAGTAGTAGTAGTAGTAGTAGTAGTAGTAGTAGTAGTAGTAGTAGTATGGGTGTGTTGTTGTTGTTGTTGTAGTAGTAGTAGTAGTAGTAGTAGTAGTAGTAGTAGTAGTAGTAGTAGTAGTAGTAGTAGTAGTAGTAGTAGTAGTAGTAGTAGTAGTAGTAGTAAGTTAGTAGTAGTAGTAGTAGTAGTAGTAGTGGTAGTGGTAGTGGTAGTAGTAGTAGTAGTAGTAGTAGTAGTAGTAGTAGTAGTAGTAGTAGTAGTAGTAGTCGTGGTAGTAGTAGTGGTGGTAGTAGTAGTAGTAGAAGTAGTAGTAGTAGTAGTAGTAGTAGTAGTAGTAGTAGTAGTAAGAGTCGTAGCCGTAGTAGTAGTAGTAGTAGCAGCAGCAGCAGTAGCAGCAGCAGTAGTAGTAGTCGTAGTCGTAGTCGTAGTAGCAGTAGTAGTAGTGGTGGTAGTAGTAGGAGTAGTAGTAGCAGTAGCAGTAGAAGTAGTAGTAGTAGTGTCCTTCTCCTTCTCATCATCATCCTCCGGCTCCTCCACTTGATCCTCCTCCTCATCATCATCATCCTGCTCCTACTCCTCCTCCTTCTCCTACTCCTCCTTGTCCTTCTCTTGGGGGCGCGGCCAGACCATCGTTACGAACAAACCGGCTCGGCCAATTGTTCCGATGGTTTTGCCTCTGGCGGCAGGTTGCGGCCCTGGGACAGTGGAAAACACTGCCACAAAAGCAAAGCCCAGAGGGGCGCGTGCGGCCGGCGAGTTTCTTCGTTCACGCGCACATGAGCACAAGACACAACGATCGCAGAATTACCCACTTGGAAGCACTGGCATCATGAAGACGTGGTTGAGACATCAATCCGTTCGATCTGCCACATCATTCAGTCGCTGTAAAACTGAATCCGGTAACCCTCGATATGTGTCAACCATACACAGACCAAACATGGAACGTGATCTATACATATAGCGTCTACAGACGTCAAACACCTAGAATGTATCTACAGTGCCCAAATACTGACACCTTATACGGCGCGCGTATTCCTGCATGAGCGTCTGGATGACGCAAAATTAAGGCGCAACCCGAAGATGGTTACGACAGAACTAACACCGATCAAGCCTGTGCTGAGACATCACGGCGGCATACTTGAGACGTGGCTGGCACATGGACGACGTATTGTCAAAGAGCATATACAGCGCCTCAGACACTGAAACACACACGTACACTCATAAACACACACACACACAGTCACACACACACAATTTGGCGTCGCGGCCCTGCGCGCGGCGACAGGGCGTAGAAGGTCGGAAATCAGCGAAGCGCGCGCACACACACACACACACACACACACACAAGCAGACACACACACACACATTCACACACTTTTTGGCGGTCGCGGCCTCACGCGCAGCGACGAGGCGGAGTAAGTCGAAGCGGCAGGAGCGGGCGCGCGCGGCCAGACCCACAGGCGTGATCGCGCTGGGTCGCCGCACGTGCCACCCTGGGGAGCGGCAGCCGTAACCATCCGGGCGGGACTGGCAGGGAAAAAGGAGACGCTGCCCGCCCCGCCACGGGAGGGTCCCACGCGGTGGTCGCAGCGCGAACTGGTGGGCAGCAGCACATAGCCCACTGGGCATGGTGGAGCCGTGGCTGTGCATCGCGGGCATCCCGCGGGGCAGCAGCGCGGGCGAGGAGACACACACGCACATACACGCACACGCATACATAGACATACACACATAAACTTGCATCCACCTGCGATGTGACACAACAGTTGCGATAGAACAATCACTTGGCACGCCAGTGCAAATTGCACCCGGCCTTGTGGACGCAGGCCGAACTGCTCAGGGAACGGCCCCGCACGAGGGAGACCCTAACAGTTACGTGTGCAAGAGGAGGGCTGGCACCACAGTGGGGACGGCGCACATGCAGCCCTGCGGCCACGGCACGTGCACGCACACACATACACACATATACACACACACACACACACACACACGCACACACAATGTTTTGGCGTCGCGGCCCTGCGACGCGGCGGAGTCAGTCAGCTAAGTGCTCAAAGAGTGCAGCAAGGGCCTCCGACGAGCGGACTCACGCAGCGCGGGGCGGGAAGCACAGGGTTCACCCATAGGGAACCGCGCATCATCTTCATCATCATCATCATCAGTATCATCATCAACATCAACGACTCATCATCATCATCATCATCATCATCATCATCATCATCATCATCATCATCATCATCATCATCATCATCATCATCATCATCGTCACCATCAATCAATCAATCAATCAATCAATCAATCAATCAATCAATCAACATCATCATCAGCATCACTATCAGCATCATCATCAGCATTATCATCAGTATCATCATTACCACCACCACCACCAGCATAATCATCAACAGGATGAACCAAATCATCCTCATCCTCGTGCTCGTCCTGTTCATCCTCATCCTCATCATCATCACCATCGTCATCATCACCACCACCATTACCATTATCCTGATATTCGTCATAGTCGGCATCATCATCCTCATTCGCAGCATCATCATCATCATCATTAGCATCATCATCATCATCATCATCATCATCATCATCATCATCATCATCATCATCATCGTCGTCGTCGTTACCTCTGTCGTCGTCGTCCGCATGATGGTCAGCATCATCATGGTCATCAGCATCATCATCGTGACCACCATCATCCTCATCACCAAAAAACAACAAAACAAAACAAAAGACAATGACGATCGAACTCATCCTCATCATCAGCATCACCATCATCATCATCAGCATCATCATCGGCATCATCAGCATCAGCAGCATCATGATCAGATCATCATCCTCACCATCATCACCATCATCAGCAGCAGCAGCATCATGAGCCTCATCATCAGCAGCAGCGGCATCATCATCATGATCATCATCGTCATCATCATTATCCTCATCATCATCACCATCATCGTCATCACCACCAGCATCAGCAGCAGCATCTGCATCAGCATCATCATCACCATCATCATCATCACCACCATCATCAGCATCATCATAATTATCAGCATCATCATCACCAACATCATCATCATCATCATCATCATCATCATCATCATCATCATTATCATCATCAGCATCATCATTATCGTAATCGTCCCCGTCTTCATCGTCAGCCCTCATCACCATTCTACCTCCCTCCTCCCTCGTCCCTCTCATCCCTCCTCCCCCTCCTCCCTCTGCTCGTCCTCAAACCTGCCCGCCTCCTGCCGCCACCCCCTGGCTCCTGGGGCCTTGCCCTGCTCTGTCAGCACGCAGTGCCTTTGGTCGCACATGCCCGGGAACGCCGTCCTGCGACTGGCGCGACAGGGCCGCAGCCAGCGGAGAGAGGAGGCCACTGCGGGCTCTGGAGCGCACGACATGGGGGGGGGGTCGAGGATCAAGAGTCAAGCCCAGGCCTCGAACCTGCTGAAAAAGATATGCATAATAAGTTGTCGGCCCCTGGTGGCCCATACCGAGCCCGGGCCGTCAATCAACTGCTCAGGACGCAAAGCTGGCCCTGGTGGAAGCGTCGGAGTTACTGGGGGTCTCGTTTTGAACAAAAAAAAAAAAAAAAAAAAAAAACGGGTTTCTACATCGCCTGACTCCTGACGATTCCGCGCGCCGCGCCCCGCGATGCGCGACGCGCGGCTGTCATCGCGCCTCAGTGAGGCCACCCTCGAGAAATGCAACTCTCCCGCCCAGGCCGCGACGCGCGAAGCGCGATTATCTTCGCGCCCCAGCGGGTGACCTGAAATTTCGATGGCCGAGACGTTGGTGCGTTCTCCAACCTTTTGGGCCTCCGGGAGGCTCCTCGCCCTGCTCCTCTTCTGCGTCACCCTCCTCTCCTCCCCTCCCGGCCCCCGCGGACGACGATTCCGTTCAAGCTCGGTCCCTGGACACCTCCGGGTGCCCAGCCTGGCCAGCGCGAGGAGCAGGAGCAGGAGCAGGAGGAGGGGGGGGGGTGAAGGCAGCGGAGGCGGAGGAGAAGTAAAGACAGAGAGAGAGAGAGAGCCTTCGGGACCTGGTAGTGCTCCTCATCGTCATCCAAAATCAGCAGCTCCGTCATCCTACTCGTCCGCTTACCTGGCCTTTCCCTCTTCAGCCTCCTCCTATTCCTCCTCTTCTTCTGCATCATCATCACCACCATGCTAGCCAGCGTCATGAACTGCGTTAAAGTCTCCCCCGTCCTCGTCCTGCAGCTCGTCCTCCTTCCTCCTCGAGCTCTTCGTTCAGCCCTCTTCTCCCTCGAACTTCACAGTCTACGTCCTCGCTTGCTTCTACTGATCACCTGCCTAATCCGCCTTCCCCTCCTCGCACCTTCTGCCCCCACCCCCCACCCCCCCCCACCCCCCCACCCC